AACCAAACTGTTTTGTGTCCTTTTCTAGTCATATTTCTAGTTGGAGCCATGTGATGATGTGTATTATTTTGATGATAAAATATTGTTGTAAAAGAACTCCTTAGCTTGTATTTTTTTGAATTTCAAAATTTGAACTCTCTGTGTACAAATGCTGGAAAACTGAAATGGAAACTGGATTTCAGCTCTTCAACATCTCTCTCCATTTCTTTGAGAAATAACCGAACACGGCTGTCCTACTGTTGTAGTTTCTAAAACCTCACCATTAACCTCTTCCCTGCTTTATTTTCTGAGTCCCCTAAATGAAAGCTTGAATTTTTTTTTTTTTATTGTTTTCAATTTGAATATGTTGAATTAAGAACCTCAAATGTGTCAGACACAGGAGACAATCCACCAAAATGTGCAGGGAAGCCATGGCTCTAATGAGTCCATGGACTTGCATGCTGACAGTCCAGGTCAGGATTTCCCTTACTGAAATCTATGTGTGGTTCGTGATGTGGTCTTCATTTTCTTTTTCTGATAATAATTTCTTGGGTGGTTAGGAAGCTTGAACTTCTCTGTAATTCTGGTGCAAGTCAAACATATATGTATTCGTTTTTACATTTATTCAATAGTGTTCATTTTTTTCAAACAAAGAAATGGAGAGAAAATCGGGAGGAACATGAAGAGCAGAACATAAATTAAAATGGAGAGGAATATAACCCTTCGATTCATATTTTCTCATTAACAATCTCTCTTGTATAATACAAACTTTAAAACAACTCAAAATTTAAAAAGTTTTGTATTTTCTGTAAACAATTATTCTACATAAGAAGCAACAATAAAAGTACATTTGAAATTTGAAATGATAAACAATCACTTTGCCGCATGCTTGCGTCCTTTGGCAGCTCTGCAGCCCTTCATTCAGATGCATTTGCATTTGCATTTACATTTCATTTGCTGTTCATTGCAGCTTCATTTCATCAACATTTGCAGCTTCATCTGCTGTCAATTGCCGGCCTCATTGCTGCCATTCCATGGTAGTTTCATTTCATCATTTTGCAGGTTTGAATACCACATTTTTAGTAATAATTCCAACAAAATTTACACATATGAAGAATGAAACCATCTCTTGGATTAGAGTGTTAGATTGTTAGCTAAAGGTTTTTTGAGTAAAGTTGGTGAAGTCTTTTGATTTCTGAAATTGAGTTTCAGTTAAAGGGTACTGTGCTGATCTTATTGTTTCTTCTGTTTGTTTTCAATCAATCCTGAAAAGCCACTCAAATCGGCACAAATCCAACATAAATAAATTTCATTAACTCGTACAGAGAAGCTTGTTTCCAGTTTTGTGGAAAACATAGAAGGAAAAACCAGATACAAGTGAGGAAATAAAAGGATCAAGATGATGTAACATTAAAGCTCAAGCCAGAAGCCTTCCACTTTTGCTCCGAGATCTGGTCAAAACGGGCAGCCATCTCAGGTGTCAAGTAATTCTTCCAATCTCCGACTGCGCCTTTTCTGAAGAACGACCGGTTTTCGAACTCTAACTCGTCCCTCAATTTATACTTTCCTGTTTTATTCACCTCTAGAGTGCTCAACTTCTCAAAGCTACAGAGCTCCACGACTTTTTGCACCATGCCTTTGCTCTCTTCCTCTAATGCAAAGGGATACCCCATGAACTCAGCCAATCTCTTCACATGAAAAACAGGGTTGCTCTTTATATCTTCATACTTCAAGAAAAGTACCTTTTCAGGCATTTCCAAGCTTGCATTCCAATACTCCAAAACATGATCCCAGTAAGGCCCCTGGAAGGACAGTCCTTGGCAGAACAACTCAACTGCCTCCTCCAGAAGAAATGGATCGGTGCTCTTGGGGCTGTTAACAAAATGCCACATAGAAATGAAAGTATCCTTAGGATCCCTACAAATGTAAACAATTTTGCAGCCTGGTGTGGCGATGACGGATTTTGGTAAGCAACTGAACGAAGTGTGTGTGCAGAGGAGAGGAAGGTCTGGACTCCGGCAGCTTTTGTTTTGGATGAAAGAAAACTCAATAAAGACGGGGACACACTCGTGCGAGATTTCGGTGAGTAAAGGGCTGTTGACATCGTCGTAGCGGTTTCGAGTGACAATGGCAAAACTGAGGGCCTTGAGCCATGTTGTACCTGATTTAGGAATGCTGCTTAAAATGATATCAGTGGGTTGAGCCTGGAAGTGCTGTTGAGCTAGTATGACTCCCACAAGGGCGTTGAGACCGACCCAGAAGCCCTGGTATTGACAGAGATCTTCAGAGAGTGCCAAGCCTCGTGCTCTAGGAAGGGAAGAGATCGTCTCCTGCACCTCCTTTTTTGGGAAGCTTTCCTTTTCTTCTCTTTCAAGGTGATCGTGCTCCATGACTTCCGAGAAAGCTAAACCAGACTGGATGCACTGTGCACTTTTCCTTTCAAGTGAAAACGAGACAATGGATTTGAAAGATAATCACCACCATCCTTGTTAGTGTGAACAGAATCATTTCAAATACTGTTCCTTTTTTTTTTTGGCAAAAACCTTCCTAAGCCCCAAACTTATTTTAAAATAACATTTAAACTTCTAAATTAAAAATAAAACAGATTAACTCTTAAACTCCACTAACAATACAAATAAGTCAAATGGTATTTCTTCTTTAATATTACCTTGAAAACATGAACACTAATGAATGAAAATGATTTATTTACATCATTAGTAGTGTTAGAGGGCATATCTATCTTATTTTTAGTTCAAAAACTTAAATGTTATTTTGAGATATATTTAAATGTTTAAGGAGATATTTATCTTTTTTTTAATAGTTTGGTGCTCAGGAATACATCTCATCGTTAATTTGGTATAACAAAAAAAAAAAATCTATCCTACTTTGAAATAAAATTTGAATTTTGAATTAACCTTACAAAATGCTTTACTTATCAATAAATTTAATTTTTAAAGATAATCATTTCCATCTTGATTACACAAATTTTATGTATTATTTTGAATCTGATCAATTGCTTCGGCCACAAAAGATACCACCAAAATAAATTACTATCATCTAATTTAATTTCCACTAAAACTTTAAAAAGAGCAATGTTAGGAACACTCGCCATTTGCATTCTCCAGCCGACCCTTCCATTTTCATTGAGTCACGTTATGTTGGTTGGAGCGGTAATCATTTTATAGCGGAAGCAAGCTTACGTGGCCCAATAAAAAACATGTGTTGGCTGGAGAGTGCAGGAGTCGAGTGCCCCTAGCACTGCTCCTTTAAAAATAGCGGGTTTAGCCATTTGCGTCCACAAAAATAAATCCTTATCTCAATACATAAAAATCTATGGTCAACACCACCTGAGAAAAGAGAAATAGGGTGCACAAATTGAGAGAAGAAAATAAAAAATAAAAAATAAAAATAAAAAGAGAGAGAGATAGGAAAAGAGGAAGAAGTAATCATCTGAGTCACATTCGTACTAACAAATTAAGTAACAGTCGATGCACGCTCGCACTGAGTTTTTGGATTGAAGTGATTCTACTTAGAATTTTAAAGTGTTTAGATTCAATAATTGACATTTTGAATCCCATTAATTTTT